CTTCCTTTACCAGGCCACAGCGTCATTAACAATGCGGGTGTTGGAGCCTAGGAATCAGAGTCTACTGCAAGTTGGTTTTGAAATAACATTAAATCTGCTTTACTTCACCAGTATATTTTATATTATACTTATGTGGGCCTTTGTTACATTATTTGGGACGGGTATTGTCTTACTGTAACTCCACCATACGTCTAGTACTGCTCTCCTCTTCTTCCAGCTGTAAAAATTTATCAGTGCATTGCAGCCAATTTGGGAGTTTGCTTTCTTAAATATGGCTAGTTCACATAACTAATCAGTTATAAACCCACAAAACTGGCAGGGAGACTTTAAATGATCAGATTTTAGAAATATTTAAAAAGACTCAAACACTGGAAATTTGCATATCAGTTATTAGAACCTTAGTCCAACTCTCCAAATATTCAAATACATATTCATCAGCTTGCCATATGCTCGCTTAAACGTGCGAAGCAACAACCTCCTCCTGCCCCAAAAGCTGTCTTTCTTCCATTTCTGTTAAATGGCATTAGTGCCTTCTTCAATTAAAAATTGCTAAATCAGTGGGTTGGGTGAAGTTTTAAAATGTTCAAAGTTGGCATTCAAGATAAATATGTTAAATGACACCCCCCAAGAAAATTATTTGAGGACTTTGATGCTTATTTATGCAATGTTACGATTTTATAGAACAAACGTGCACACGAAACCCCAGAACCCCTTCACTTCAGCTACTTCTGCATGTAATTTGCTGTGACTGTGATGAAAAGCTTTCACTTCTGAAAATGGAAAAAGCACTGTAAGCCACTAGTGGCATGGATTTAAATGACTTTTCCCATCTTGAGTCAAAATTTGATTGTATGCTTCGGACCAACAGATGCTTCACAAGCCAGCTAGCTCCCAAGTGACTTCAAACCTGGGGACGTCCTTTTCAAATGCTACGGCTTGGCCACAGCAACCAGTGATTGGATTGGAAATGCTGCCTACAGCACACTCTCCATCATCCTGTCCTCCTCTCTCTGGGATCAGCAGTTCTTCCAAGGTCCCTCGGGGCAAACATCGCTGCTCCCTTCTCCAGCATGGGAAGCAGCACAGGAGAGAAACCAAGAGTCAAAGGCAAAGCCTGGAAATTCTTGGGCACTGCACAGAGAAGCTTAATTTTAAGTTTCCCCGTCATGCAGGACAGGCAGGCCAGGAGCCTTTTGACACAAGCAGTCAAACCACAGGAACAGGCTGTAGCTGAAGGTAACTAAGTCCTTCGGGTTTCAACATCCAAGAGAATACTTTTCCCAGAATACGCTGAAGCAGTCTACAGAGCATGTTTGTTTTTTTTTTTCCTGAATGGAGGAGAATGAACCTCAGATTAAATTGTTTGTATTTGGAATGACATTTATAAACAATCAAGAAACTAAAACCGAGTAAAAAATTTTGTGCCAAATACAGAAAGGCAGTTTGTAAGTGAAACCAATTTCAAACAAAAATAAATTTATTTAAAATCTTACACAGTAGAATTACTTCATTGCACAAATCAAAGTATTAATCATGTTGATGTCTGTTGGCTACTACATTATTTAATAAAAAAACCTCTGTAATGTTGAGGTGGGGAACCCCAAAGAGTAAGCTGCGTTAGAACTACATATAGCTTATGCAGCCACACGAGAAATGTTTTCTGCTGCTTTGTTATTACACAGGTAGTTGGTTCTATCAGCTAAAGCCCAGTGACTTGGATTTGTTTTATGCATATTGGGTTTTGTTCTATTACTTTCCAAGAGATTGTACTCCCCTGAGCCAGTTGTGTTCATTGGTCAGAATAAATTCCAGCATCTGACACCATTTCCATTAATCACAGACAAGCCAGTATACGTGAGCAAGATAATAGAAAGATAAAAACAGTATCTGGTGCATGGGAAACATTATTTATGTATGCTGTTCGCTAATATAGTAGAAGGTCTCTGGAAGGCATTTTTTTCAACTTTGATAAGACAAACTGAACGAGAAGATGAAGATGGGCATCATATGAAGTACTTACTCCACAGGGAAGAAAGTGTCTGGAGCCACCCAGGTCATGTAGCACCTTGGTAACACTTTTGCAGCCCATCGTGACTACAGCTATGCTACAGTCAGAGCTTCCCCATGCATTTGCAAGCAATTTTAAGATAATTTGCTACTAAACAGCTGTGAAATTAATTTTTATTACACTGATCTTAAGCTGGACCTGTGAAGTTGAATACTTCACCCAACCACCCACACATCTGTAAATAACATACTTAGTATTAAGTATCTTCCCACCCATTACAAGTCAGATATCATGGATCTAAAATACAAAGCATTTTCCTTCATTGTATTGAGCAGTCAAGGCATTTCACTGAAGCCTGTTGTATTAAGCCAGATATGAAGCAGAGTAGTTTGGGTTTTTTTGTTGTTGTTTTTTTTTTTTTTTTAATAAAAAAAGGCTGGCCTAAGTTGTATTTCTCTAAAAACAGTTCTTGGCCTTAAGAGAAAAAAAAAACCAAAACAGTACTTCAACACCCATAATCTACAAAGCAGGCGGTTGGAATTCAAATAACTCTAGTTCTCACTGGCATACTAAAGAAACCACAAAAATACTTCTTATGTATATCAACAATGCTACAAGAGCTAGTCTGATTAAATTAAGGCTTTGTTTCTTCAATAAAAGAAAAGTTAGTAGCCTTCACCACCACACAAATACAAAGTCAAGGTTCTGGTGCTGTGCAAAGGAGGCACAATAAAGGTAACTGCACTGTGAACAGGATGATTCTGTGGCAGGCACCACTCTGCGCAGAATTAAATCCGTTTCCTACAGCACGATCTGGGGGAAACAGGCTAAACATCCAGGATTCACAGTGTTGGGCAGCGGTACTTACGATCCTTTATAATTCACAACAAAGCCCCAAATGGTGCGGTCTAAACAGGAGAGCCCACGCATGATTTTTCTCTTGCCACTATCTAATACAAATCAAGGTTTTGACAAAAAAAAAAAAAAAAAAAAAAAATAAAAAAATCTCACCCTTCTTGGTTAAAAAATTACATAAAAATGCATTTCTAAACCAGAGGAATCAGAAAGGTAATTGAAAGGAGGAAGGGAGGGATAATCCAATTCTTCATTTTATGTCTTAGTCTGAAAAAAAACCCTGTTGGAAAATAAGCTCAGAGCTGGTACAAGTTTTAACACAGGATACCAAGTATTTTCTTGATAACGTACAAATAGCAAACAAATACAGAACTGGATTATTTTGTTTTATTCCAAGAACTCACTTTTCAGTGTAATCTTTTGCAAATGTATGCCATTTGCAGTACAAGACTATCTAGGCGCCGTTCCAGATTGCTTTCTATTTACATTATACCAGCACAGCTTTAACTTCAAGGAACTTGCTCCTGATTTACAGCAGAGGAAGACTAGGCTTTCTGTTTCAGAACTAGAATTAAAAATAAAGAAAAGACATTTCAGGCAATTTGCTTTCTCTCTTTAGAAATTCAAGCATTAAAGTGCCTATTCAGAACCATTCTAAAAATGCCTCAGTTCATTCTAAAAATTGTTTAACTCTTGTGCAGACAGTTTTGATTACACTGATCCAGGTTATCTGCTGGACAGTTTAACAAAGTTGTTTTATTTTTCATTTCCCAAAACACATTCTCATTAGGCTTTGGAGGACTTGGGAATACCCAGGAATTATCTTCCAGAGAGCTCTTCCCGTAAGAATGGTGTTCTTGAAACGTTTTGCCATCAACTGGAATGGGTCTCTCATCTGTCCATGCTTGCAGAGTCACCCTTTCAGGTGGGATTTTTACATCTCTCGGCAGAGGGGGAGACAAGGGGTTGCAGAGTACTTCATCATTTTGTGAGAGTTTTTTATAGACTACCCCAGGTGTCAAATTCAGCTTTGAAATGTTCAAGTCAACACATTGCACTGGTGCAGTAGGGGCAGCTGAAGAAAGAAGATAAAAAAGATTTTTAAATGACATTATCTAATGCATTTTTTGTATACTCCAAACGTACTGCAGTATAGCAGGGATGTTAAACCCAGTGTTTTCAAGCTACTAATTCTCAGATCGTATTTTACTTCAGTAACTGCTCAAAAATTAGAAACCAAACGTGCTAACCTCCTCAGCCTGGTTTTGCAAGAACCAGAGATCGCAATGTCTAAAACACACCCAACACCAAGGAAACCTCCCAGCTCCCACTGGAACAGAGCTAAACCAATTAATCTTTTGGACAAGACTGGAATGAATGCTGAAGCAGAGAGGATTTTCATGCACTTGGAGAAATCGACCAGATTCACAACACTGCTTACACAGAGCGTGCTTCTTCCTACTCTGCTGATTCTTTATCAAGTTGTGCTCTCAAGCTGCCAAGAACCTGAATTCTCACTGTCCAAGAAGTAGTAAGAGGGAAACGCATGGCATTCACAGGTTCTCTGTCCTCCACTATTGTCTGACTTGTGAAAGTAAAGCAACAGACTGCGATATTCAGCCATCTGAAATTCCAGGCAGGTTTTAAACCATGCTAGGAAGGCAAGGATCTTGAAACAGAACAGCATCTACCTGAGATGAAAGAGCTGCACCTTCAACACACACCTGAACAGATGGCCAAATACAACCAGGTCATTTATTTGTAGTGCTAATCTCCATAACACGTAATGGGACTAGATTAGTGATTCCTGCCGTTAAAGAAACTCACATCTGACAGGTAGTTTTCTACAACAGCTATCAATCTTGAGCATGAACTGTGATTTGGAACTTTAGTTCTTAAAGGACAGAAAGAGAAGCCAGTATCTTTGTCAAAGAATACAACTTTTGCTTGCCACTATAAATTAAAAGGCGATACCCAATTGGCAAGTGTCAGCCAAAAGCACTTTCCAATAACACAGGCATCACATCTGAAAGACATCCTAAGGCACTGGATTTGGCTTCCTTGTGCTGACAGGTGTAAAAAGCAACTGGAGGTCTACAGACCTTTAGAAGTTCGAGAATGGAATCTACTGAAAATGTTAATAAAAAAGCAGGAACATGTTTGTTGGAAATTCCTCCATACATAAATGACAGCTAAGTAGAATCCACATGTTAACCGATACTGTTAACATCACACACAGAGCAATGACTACATTGTGTTCTACAGACTTCATGCACCTCTTACAGTGGCAACTAGTTTGCATATGGTAAAATAGCCAGTATTACAGGTATAGGAAGTGGAAGGTTTAAGTCCATTCTAGCCGTATTTTGCATAAGCCAAAATTTTTCTATAAGTATAAGCACAGATGTACCTGCACTGCATTCAGTGGGGCTGACAAGCAAGGTAAACAGAAAAAGTAAATGCAGTTTTCATTTCTGCCAAACCTGTCCGCTCTTACACACTTCTGAAAAATTGCTGAAAAAAAAAAAAAGCCTACAGAGCAAAAGGCAAAAAAATCCACCCTTTCCCAATCAGTCAATAATGCCTTTTATAGCTGTGGATGTACAACCGCATTAGCAACTGCAGAAAATCAGACTGTTCACCAAGTAGAAGAGAAAAATCAGTACTTCTATAGAGGCAAGACAGATAACTCCAAATTAAAAATAAGAACAGAAAGACACTACATGATCACATCAAAGCTTGACAGACTTAAGGATTAAATACTCAATTCAGTTCCCAGTTTCTCTGCTGAAGTTGTTTAACAAACCTGTCTTCGAATTGTAGGAACACAGACTCAACTGGTAACAATATGACTGATTCTACAAAATGTGTTGATAGTTTATGAGCCAAGGGCCAGAGAGAGACCATTAATCACCGCTGGCCACAGACAAAGGCAGTGATTGACCTGGAGGTGAGTCCTGTCATTACCCCACCGAGCCAATCAAAGCTGTTCAGAAACAAAATGTTGTGATCTTGTAAGGGACAGGGACATCGGAGACTGCCACCAATGTATTGTAACCAAGTTCACAGTCTTTCACCAGCATCTTCTGTATTCTGAACACAGTAAATACCACAAACGACCCCAGCAGAAAACAAAGGAAATAAACACTGGAATTAACAGGCTGATAGTCTGGCCCCACTGGAGCGAGAATGCTCTCTCGTAAGGCATTTGGCTTGACAGAAACATACTTATGAGACAGAACCACCACCTGATGAGCTGCTCACAGAAATCACACATACTTCATGTGGGAATTATTTTCCCCTTAATTATTTGCAACGTAACGGCAGAAATAAGGCAGTTTTGCAGCCTCAGTATTCTGACATCCAGAAAATGTCATCTTGCATAGCATTTTGCTAGAAAAGACAACTGTTCTGAATGCCAGCACAAAGAAATATGCAACCATACAGGAATTTCAGTCTATTCAAGTCTGATTGTAACATGTTGCCAAATTAATACTCTATATATTCTATACTGGGAAAATCAGACTGTGTTTGCAAAAAGATTTTTTTTCCCCCTAATATAAAGTAGTTGTGGTAAAAGGTCAAATACGAGTAAACTTAACACCTCAGCCTTGTGCACATAAGCAACACTTGACTGAGAAAAAAGCCACAAGGGGAACAGAATACAGTACTGAAGAAAAAACACATCAGCAACACCTTTATGTGTGAAGTTGACCAGTATGAGACAGAAGCAAAAGCAGAAAATGGGTAGGGTGGAACCATAATATAGTCTAGCTTATCAACTTCAATTGATGAGATTCTGATAAGATATGATAGCTAGTTTCTTTTTTAAATGGTACAGCTTGAATCAACGGTTTGTGTTTGTAAGGTCTGTTACTGCAAACACCGACTTGCCTTTCTTGGTCGCTGTTTGGTTTGTTTTCAGTTTTCGTAGAACTTCAGCTTGCATGTCAGTCACTAGAGACAAATTAGACATTTCTCTCTTCAGATCCCAATATGCTTGATGCACACTTTCAAAACAAAAATTTTTGAGAAGTTAAGTAATTGCAACCTCTAAAGCACCCTCATGCCTGTTCACATGCCTGTCAAGCATTAACTGTTAATAAATTGGTTTTGCCTGACATACACCGCCAATTTTACTAGAGTACCATAATTCAAAATGAATTGAGCAGTACTGATAATTATCTTAAACTGATGGACCATTGTATATTTTAACTCTTGTATATTACAATAGGTAATGTATTATATATTAACATACTAGATGATGCTAGTAAAGTCAAGTTCCCCAAACAGAAAGAAATATGAAGTGTGTTCTCCAGTTTCATTATTTGAAACTAACTATCTTACCATAAAATAAGTATTCTCCAAGGAATACTTTCTAAAAAATATATTAAATGGACACTAGACTGCAAACAAGGTAGAGTATTAACTTTGAATGCTTCTGATAAGTGACCACACACACCATCATATGTTATGTTCCTAGTTTTAAATATTCAACCAAAATCGGTATTTTGGTCTTTACACCATTCACTTTGCTGCAGTGAATTCAAACTGGAATACTCGAGATCCAAACTATGCACCCATGCACAGACCGAAATAAAATGTAAGACATACTGTTTCATATTCAAGTCATCTAATTGATGTTAATACACTGTGTGATAAGACAGTGTAAAAAATAACGACCCAATTAATTCTCTGATAAGACAGCATAATATGAGAAACATATTTAGCAACAGCAGCACTGTTCCAACACTGAGGTTTCAGGTTAGTAGCTGGTAAGAAAAATCAAGAACAAAAAACCAGAGAAGTCAGCATTACCATATGTTTCTTGGTAAAATTTTGAGCAAAGGCGCACTGAACACCAGATTTATGTTGATTAATAATTAGCTTAGTGTTCAAAGACATAAGGATGCAGTTACTTCAATGTAAACGTGAAATCAATGATCTAATTTTTTAATGCTTAACATTGTACCAAACCACATTTATTGAGGACAAGTAACATGGATGAGAGTTTTCAGAATATTTCTTTCTTCCTCATTATATTCACCTAAAAGATGTTTATTCAAAAACAGTTCAGTACATCAAACTATTGTTGAGATGACTAAGAACTATTAAGCTATAGAAGACCTGTATTTTCAAACATGCATATATACAGATATCTATCCCTCTAAAATAGCAATCTAGGATCACTCCTGCATAAAATTTATCAGACATGAACGTGTTCAAAAGCACTGTGAGAAACAGCTATTATTCTGTTCTGCAAGTTAACGCTAAACAAGTTCCCTTAAAACAAAGAAATAAAACTTTCTTCTACGCACAGAAATTTTTCCCCAGAATACAAAAATTCAGATTCTAAAACTGTTAAAGAACAGAGGAAGCTGATAGTTTAATAGGTGATGTATTATGTATCAGCAATTCTGACAGTCAAAATTTTCAAAACTGGTACTTCAAGGAGTTCAGCTGAAACCGTGGCCTTTTTACTGCAGAATCCATTTGGCTCTTTGAACTTTTAAGAGATGAAAATTTCGAAGTTAAGCTCATGTGGCAACTACATTTATTCATGTGTTCTGGTCTCAAAAATAAGATCAGAGAAACTTTAGTTATATCAAAACAGAGCTGTCCAATATTTAATATAGAAGTGATAAATATAAGAACAGCTCAGTGTCTGCCACCAGCCAGAAGGAAAGCGCTTAGGTAAATTTTGTAACGTGCATTTACTGCTTTTAAAAGCATCTTGCGAAGGGATGCAGGTACCAGAATTCCACTTAAATCACACATAATGTGTTTTAATTGTTTTTGTGGATACTGACTGAGAATCCCATTGCAATGCCTAATTTTCAAGGACTTTGCCATTGAAAACCAAGGATTCCACGTGCTTGGAAGTTTATCCTATACTGCCTTCTAACGTGCATTTTAAACCTTGAATATGATAGCCTATCCAAAGCTACAGCAAAGTAGATTTGCAAACCGAGAATTTAAAGTCAGATTTGCAGACTGTTGACAAATATGAAATAATTACTTTCCAAAAAGTTAACTAACTGCAAACGCCTCCATCCCACATAAACAGCAGGACTGCTTGCTGTAACAAATGTTTCACATAGGAGGTTTTTCAAGTGTTTTTCCACAGATTTTTGGAGAGACTTACATGTTCAGTACACATTACACACTCATTATTTATGTCATGTTACAATAAACACTATACTGTACATATGCTAATTTAGATGGTTGCCACCCGAATGTCACTTTGTGAAATAAATCTGCTCTGGAACATCAAAGAGATAACTACTTTACCTTGAGATAACACCTTTTTTTAGGCGTGTAAGACTGACTACGAAGCACCAGCAGAAACCACAAGAAAAAGTGGTAGCTAGCTAGCTATCCAGTCAAGGTGAAAGGTGAAAGTGTAACTTGTGTATAGTGTGTATAATATTACCATCATTACACCAGAGAACATATAAGAAGAAATATCTGTGCTCTTCTCTTTCAGTGACTGATTTCCTTTCCTGTCTCTTCAATAGCCAAGTAAGCAACAAAGTATTACACTAAAGAATCTGTCATTATGAAGGACCACTCTTCCCTCTTGTGGAAAATGGTGTAAGTACACAAACAGGCATAACCAGGCACGAGAGAGGCAGTTAGTACTTCATTTTTGCAGAACGTTTGGGAACTTTCATGCATACATGGATTTTTCTTTTGCATAGAGAATTAAAGGATATATATACTTTCTAATACGGCACATATACTCAAGACAGGATAATATAGGAGTTCATATCGTAAGCCAAATTACTTGAATGGCTACAAAATGAGAACAAATGCTTTCTGATATGTTAGCATTTTTCTGGAAAAACTGCTGTTTCTTTTTGAATAGGTCACACAATGGCTCCTCAATATTAAAAAAAAAATCCTTTAAATTGTCTTCTAGTAGAAATATTATTGTGCTGCACTAAGAATGTATGTTCCAACACTAAGCAAGCAATTTGAAGACGTCACCTATGCAAACACAGAAACCTTCCCACAGGCAGAATGAAGATATTCTATAGCTGGGATGAGACTTGAAAATTTATCTACCGCTTCCTCAAGTCAACTAATTATTAAAAAGCTGATTTTTAAATCCAAGATAATTTAACTTTCATTTTCTGTACAACAATCTGAAGATGTAAATGTTTTCTTATCATCATCATCCTGGACTACCAACATAACAACAACAAAAAAAATTACAATGATCTTACTAAATCAGTATACCTAGACTTTAAATTAGATTACGTTATTTGAAATAACAGATTTGAACAGGCTGCAAAATTCTTTACTTCTTCAAATAACTGTCCCTCAGTAAACTAAAATAAAAACATGAAAGCCATTCGGTTTTCATACCTCTGGATGACTTGCCTTTGAAGGTGGTCTCCATTTAATGGATTTTCATCTTGAGCCTGGTCCTGCATAAGAGTGTGAGGGGAGATAGAGAACGGAAAAACATGATTTCAGATCTCTTACCTGAAAAAAATGCAGTGAAACTACAACTTTGCTCATACTAACATTCAGAAGTAAAGTAGTCTTTATTTGTGTTGGCTGCAGTGGTTTTCAAAATGGACGTAAAGACTTGTACTAGAATTTCCACTTAAAAATGCTTAAATTACCTACTTACATGAAAGCATTATTCAGCCACCACCTTACTTTTAAAAAACAAAACAAAACCAAAACAAAGCCAGCTGAGGTCTAGGAATTCGTGATTCTTTGAAAAGCAAAAATTGAGAAAGGATTTTGACTTCCATTAAAGAAAAAATAATCAGTCTTCTCTAGTTCTTTCCCTGCCCCAGTATGTAAAGACCTTTAAATTAAACTATTTCAATATAGATTTACTTCCACGTGTTATTTTTATGATCGAACATAACTTATCCCTTGAGTCTGCAAGACTGCTTTAAATTGTGCATACAAGTAGCCTCACTGAAGTTACAGGACTGTTTAACAAATCAAACATTGGGCTCACTTCGTTAGCCGTATTTCTATTAGACCCTCACCTGTGATAAGTTCCTATTCATATCCCTTTTCTTCACATTCCCTTCCTACTACCACTCCCTCTAGCCAAAGCTGTTATGAATTTGATACCTATTACTGTGGCTTTATGATGGCTTATATACATTTCAAGCAACTTGTCAATATAATGTATACACTGCATCCACTACAATGCAAAACGCAAATAAGAATATCTAAAAATAGGGGCAAAAAAAAAGTATACTTGCCTAAAGTAGAAAACATCTGAAAATGCTAACTAATGTAAGTAAAACCAGTAATAACAAAAATACTAGCTGGGTTTGAAACAATGCTGACTTGTCGTTGCCTATTGATCACATTTCCCCATATTTCACCTGACAATTTTTCTTTCTCCTGAAGACTTTCCCACCACCACCCATCAGAGATTCAATTTCATAGTTTAAAAAGACCCAACAAACAGTTGCACTGTATTACCCCACATTTGAAAACTTGTACCTTTTTATTTCCTATATTAAGCAGTTACCAGGATCAAGAAGAAATTACATTAAAGAAAAAAAAGAAAAAAGCAAAAAGCCGGTCCTTGTATTTGTTCTTTGCAACAACAGTTGCTGCCATAAGCATTAAAGTGTCACGTCTAGTATCCCTTACAACTGCTATTTTAGTCTATTCTTTCTAGCAACATTCATTCCACAATACAATCTGCAATCTTCAATTATTTATATAGCTGTTACTCTATTCTACAGAGCTACCTGACAACACCAGATTGATATACAAGTTACAGTATGCCTTCAAAATTTACAAGTTATTGAAAATACCTAAAAGAATTCCAGATACAAGTGAACACAACAAACCCAACAGTAACAGATGTTAATAAAACACCTCACACGCCTTCCAGGTAATGTGCTTTATCCCCATCTAGTGGAAAAAACACAGACTAAACCCCAGACAACAATCAGTGCACATAAGTCTATGCATGTAAGCTAGGAGTGTGGCATGACAGCAGCAGATCTGTAGAGACACATCACTGCTGAGAACCCAACACCCCAACTATATATGCTTTGAGGGGCAGCCGGGCAGACGGACTTCAGGGTAGCTCTAGTCTGGTCCCTGAATGCCCAGGAGAAGTTGGGGTGCATCTTCTTTGTTTCATCCAAAAGGAATCCAGTTCCCATACTCCTGACTGCTCCGTAATGCAAGGCACAGTGGTTATTCAATCTGCCTCAAAAATCCATTTCTGTAGTAATTTAAATGTGCACATAAGAAAAAGAGCCAAAGAAACATTTCCAAATTAAACCAAATCCCGTTTGAAGGCAGGATGATGGCCATGCAAGGATTCTATCTGCAAGTCGTATCCTGAATACTGACTCACTCAAATATTATGTGACTCAAGATTACATAATCATAATTATTAATGACTGTAAGAAACAAAATAGCCTGCCTCTTCAAAGGCATTTAAATCTTTTAAATGTATTGCATAACTTTAATGTGACTGTAGAGTCCTAGAGACAGAGACTACCACCGCACCTTTTAGCATGTAAAGCAGTAACCATGCACTCAACATTTTTTTTTTTCTTTAAACTTAATGCATTTTATTACTGTTAAGATATCTTAATTTCCTTTTTGAGATCCTAAGCACAACTATGTTACACAATGAGTCTCTCACAACAAACATTTGCCCCAGACTAAAGGAGGTACAGCAAGATTCTGGAAACCTTGTTACAAAAATACACTTTCCGGACAAGCTGCATGCAACTACCTTAAAGAAAAGTGCTAGAGCTCCTTAAACAAAGTTTGTGGTATCTTTTAACATAAGCACTCTATTGTTTTAAAAGAAAAAAAAAAAAAACAACAAAAAAATCCAAACAACAAAACCCAAACAAACCAACATGAACAAAACCAAAACCAAACCAGATTTTGCACAAACTTTCTAAGAAGTTCAGCCTAGGACAATACCAGCACATGACACTTCAATCTGATTGGCTACTTATATGAAATTGTAAAGCTTTATTTTCTGTTGTTACATGGGCAATGGCTGGGAAATGTCACCTATATAGGCATATCATTTCCAAGAAACAAGCCAGTCTATATGAATATTTAAGGTTAATTTTACTGGGATGTTAATCTTTCACTCAATTATACACTTTATATCTCTTTCTTTACCCTTTATTTTGCTTGAACAGGGGATTTAAAATAATGCAGTCAAATCTATTAACACAAAAATAAAGGTACCTTCTGCTTGGATTTTTGCAACTCCTTTCTGAGACTGTTGCATTCTTGCTTGAGCTTTTCTAGATCCTGTTCCAGACTATGCACTTTCAGGTCACTGTTCAGCTTCTCTATTTCCCAGCTGGACTGAGTACAATTCAGATTTTTCATCACTGTAAGAAGACAAGCAAGACAATCAGATTTCAAGAAATTGAACCCAATATGTAAGGCATGTCAACCAGCCCATGCCCTACAAAAAAGTTATCATGTCCATTCTAAAGGAACTGCAGTCTATGACAACAGAGAAATAGTAACACTGGTAAAGTTGTTGCCAGAGAAGTAGTCTATTTTCTGAGTTTAAAGTACAGAGGTCTATTTTCTAACAACGCACTGGAGATTTTACATAAAGAAAAAAGGAAGTAACAGCATAAAAAGGCACTGAAAATACAAATATCTGTTAGTGGCAAACACACATGATATGTACACCAACTTGCATACTTTTTACATGGTTTGAAAAGACGAGCCTTTTCCCCCTCAGATTTGTATCATTACATAATTTACCATTTTTCCCAAGTTTAATATTAAGACATTGTAAACAGAACTACAAAAGATACAATGAAAACAAAAAGGTAAAGTCTAAAGTTACATAAGTCTTATTAGAACAAATTCACAAAGCAACCTAAGACGATCCTAGCATCAAATCAGTAGTAGGACGCTAGTTAGAAAAGAACAAACATGACAGGAAGAAAACCCCCAGGTCTTCAGCAGCATGGTACACTCACTTTCAGACCTAACAATTTGAACAAGCTTAAGCTACACTGATTTTTTTCTAAACAAGGTACTCAGAGCTCACTTATAAGTAAAACTGATTATTAAATAAGGCTTGGAATCACCACATTTTCAGAGCTTTTATAAACTCTGCACTTCTTACCTCCTTAAACCACGATGTCCTCAACAATGATACTTCTGCTACACGTGGTTTGTTCTTCTAGGTTTAAAAACTTGAGCAATTCAAGTAGTGCATTACATGCTTGATGTCCTCTTGGAAAGTAATCCAATTCAAGCACAACAGTGCTCACAAGCACCCTTCAAATGACTGCGTTTGTACAGAATCTGAAGTCCAGTCCATGTCTCTAGCTTTACATAGCTGGCATTTTCTTGTTCTCTTTTCTTGTTAACAGTACATTAATAAAGATTTTTTTTCTTCCATAGCGTTTCATTTTACATACCTATCATCTACACAGCACTCTTTACAACAGCAGTAACAGAAGCTGGATTTGGGCTTTTGGAATTGCCAGGGTACACTGTTTGTTTCTCCTTCCTCTTTCCACCAGGCTCTCTACAACCAGCATCCTTCTACCTTTCCTCATCTCCCAGCTCTTTAAGTAACTGTGGTCGACTGCAGCTACTGCTATACAACATCCTCTTGTACCTGTCACACCCCACCAGCGAGACAAAGCAATATACTGAATCATCTGCAGGTACCAGAAGAAGTGGTATCTACTGGATACTCAACTGGTTTGATACTTGAACAAGTATGCCCCCAGTCCACTCTGAGGAAGAAGTGGTGAGGTCCAGAGATGTACACGACCAGCCTATTAAACTGTCAGGTTGTACACATTTCTCAAGTTATTAGATAATCTACAGTGGGAGAAGACAACAACCTCAGGTCTTTACTACGGAGCTCCTTGCCTATGATAATCTAACACTCATGTCACCATTTACAAGAATGAATACATATACAAGCTCAAAGTACCTCCCTGCAGTATACTCCTCTCTTACCAAGCTACTATAAAGAGTTAAACCTCTTCATGCCCTCAGATGTTAATATAACCACTAAGATTAGCCAACATACATTAAGATGAAGTAACCAAATGCATACCTTGTTGAGTTTCCACTTCAGTTTTTAGTTGTAACAGCTCTACTTCTTTAGACTGCAGCTGTTCATTCAAGGTTTTCAAGGATTCTGCACTTTCTTTCATCTATTTTCAGGGGGAAGAAAAACCCAAAACCATCTGTGAAGCTTTTTTCCATCGTGTCTGACAATTCAACTTTTTTTTTTTTTCCTAAAAAAACCCAACAAAACAAGAACAGTATTGCTTTGTTGTTTGGGTTTTTTTTAGCATTAGCCTAGCATAGTAATAAAACTGAGATACTTGAAATTGTTATTCCTACATAAAGTATCATCATGTACTTTAAAAACCTAAGGGAGTGATAAAACAAGCACCACAGATCTTCAGCAAATAAAATTCATTCTACGGTAAACATTTACTAATTATGCAGTACTTGCATAACATGCATTTAAGTCATTACTTAAAAAGGCATACCATTTTATCCAGTTTGCTTTTCAGATTATCTCGGTCAATGCAGGCCTCTCGATAGGCTTGGTATGCCTTATTTACTTGTTCACGTCCAACTGAACTGCATTCCTCTTCCAGTCGGGAGCCAAGCAGCTAAAAGTTTAACAGACATGAGAAATAAGAAGTTCTGTATGTTATATTGAGAACTGCAAAGTTAAAGTGCAACAGTACAGCCTGCAACATTAAACTAACATTGTTTTTTAGTTTAGAAAATAAATTAATCAAATACATTGATACAGAACCAAATTTTTTACAGAGGTGTGACAAAGGCCTTCTACAAATTCTTCAGTCTCTAACCGTACTTAGTGCTTGCTAGTTTACTGCTGTGAGTATTTAAAAACCATCCACAAGTCATGATTACTCACACTGACAATCTCTTAATCATATTTTTTCCAGGCCCTGACGATGTACAAACTGCTTTTTGGAAAAAGAGTTATAAAGCATATAAAGACACAACATACAGAAAACTCAGAGGAAACTGAACATAATTTTTTAATGACACCGTTTAAACAAAGATTTTTTTTTCAGTGTATTTATGTGAGAAAAGCCAAAGCAGAATCATTTGCCTGCTAAGGCAAGAGACAAGCAAGGGGGAGTAAGCACTACCAACCAGATTGTCAGAAAGAGGGGAGCAGAGTTAAAATTTCAGTATTGTTAATAAGACAGCAAAAAGACAAGTCTTGCATCAAATTACACCTGTCCACATAGAAAGTTCATGTTTTGACTAAGTATTGCAGTATCCTGTTCATTCTGTTTATCCTGCACACTTGCTTTAAATTATTGAGGCATTTAAGCATATTCAGTGTACCTAATGTAGATATTTGTGACAGATTTATATACATTTTCTTAAAAATTGTCACACACAAAAAACCACAAAAACCAAAGAGGTGACAGTTATGCATCTGCCTTAATTATCTCCTCTTTTAGGTGTTCACTTGAAAGAAAGTATGGAAAAGCAAGCCATAAAGATAGGAAGCCTCTGCCCTTTAGTTTTTGTATTGACCCTCAAAGTAAGCGTACTACTCATTTTAAGTTTTGTCCTTTACATTTTCCTCCCCCAAATAAAGCCATTCAGATAGAATGGCCTTACCAAACTTTCCAGAAGTTTCCACACACTTTGAAATTTAAGACTTAAAAGGGGTAACTCCCCATGTATTTTTCATCATACAGGTATACTAGCCATTAAAAAAAGACTGAAAGTCAGTTCTGTCACTTAACAGCCTACGTCTACCCAATGCCGCTCTCATAGAAACATTTTTATGGTATTCACATACTAAAACTTTTCTCTATGGAAAACGAGGTATCGTCTTCAAGACAATTAAGATGAACTACGCAAACCCAAAAAACAGGTGACTAAAAGGGATTGCCAAGGTCATCAAGTTCTGTTTATTGTGATTTTGATTAACCATGTAAAAGATGTTACGCTCAGCATGGTTCAGAGAATATTCAGGCTACAGCTCTATTCTTATCTCCATCATCCCCACAGGACCTTATATAAAGAAAGTGCTGAGAAAGTTTTGCCTTTTGACAGAAAGTCAATCCTACCAAAGTAGTCACCAAGAATTCCTGTGTGTTTCAAAAATTGTACCGAGTGTGACACTAGCTCTTCATTCCAAAGCCACAAATCAATACATACTTTGTAAGCTTTTAAGAGTCAGTACCACATACTTAGGACTAAGTCCTAATAAATGTCTCAGCTCTAACTCTAGGATCTATCTTTCCATCTTATATTAATAAGAAAGCAATCTTTCAAAGCCAAGACTTTCTGCAACAGAAAGACACTCACTACTGAGTGATGGATATACCTTTAACAATAGCATGCTTTACCCAGGGAGAAAAGCCTGCGCCATGGTCAATTTTTAGTTTTAATGAACTTCACTAGACTAAGGCCATGAGAAACCGCATGTAAAACAAACTCCTAGATTCCTTTAGATTTTAGAATTATGGCAACAAAAAACAGCCAGCCAACACTCCTTTGTACTTCATGTTTGAGACTGCTATTAGCTAAGCATAGCCAGATATTCTTAACAACCTATTTTTCTTTATCATTTCGGTATGCTGAGCCCAAGAGATTCTTTTGACAGCCAGTCCCTGGATTCTGACAGTTTATAGACTTGGCACCTCACTATTCAACAGTACTAAGTGACATGTGCCCAAGTTAATAAACATCATAAAGAGGCAGATGAAATACAGTAACGATCCAATGCAACTACACATCTTTCTGAATCAAAGCTACTGTCTTTGCATGGCACAACTGCATTGCATCACATACATGCCCAGTAAGAATCAAAAATCCCAGTATGACATAACTAGACTACCAGAGGAACAAACTGTGTTTCACTTCAACAAACAAAACAATTTACCAAAACTTTTAAACTTGGAAGTTATTTTAAGTACATATTTTAAATACTTAACCATCTGCTCTGCCCTCCAGATAGAAGCAAAAAAGTAGCTGCTACCAGAACCTGGTAAATCGACTTTTTCCTTACCTTCTCTTCTAGAATTCTCACTCTCTTTTTTAAAAGAGAGTTCTCCTTTTCTGTCTCCTTTAGCCGTTTCTTGATATCTTCATATGCAGTAACAAGTGCAAAATGTGAGGCAACAGACTCATCTCCACTGTAAGATGAAACAGGAATCTCCCCATCTCTCTTATGAGCATTGTCTGCTTTTTCATGGTTCAAAATACAGATGTCATCTTCTACCAACTCCTCCATGACAGCTGTTAAAAAGACAGATGAGTACAACATTTTCATAACGACACATTCATCAAGAGTCTCAAGTCTGAAAATCTTCCAAAATAATACTGCAGGGTGTTTCTGTCAAAGCATGACAAGACTGAATAATTAGGAAATATCTTAATCTTGCAGAAAATTCTTGAAATCCATTATACATTGAAAATACACTGCTTAGCAAAGAAGCATCTTTCACTGCTACTTGATAACAATATTTTGAGTACGCATCAGATTTATGACCCCCCAAATTCATTTTTATTAAGGCTTAATACCATCCTAGAAATTGGCCGGTACCAAATATTTGAACTCCACAGGAGTATCATATTAGAGTTTTTGCAAGTCACCACTGAGTAGTAAAAGAGCTGATAGTTGCAAGAAATCAGCTAACTACTGTGGTTCCTCAGCACAAGTGCCAAATATTCTTCATTCTTGAGTGCAAATATTTCTACTTTTCCCGAATGTTCAAATGGAATCTTAAGGTACACTTGCATTAGTCCTTAAAGAGGCTGCATGAGTAGCTATTCTTTACTTGGTCACAGTAGAAAACATCCTGCTGGCCAAAAATTACAGTAATTCTTAACTGCAAATGTGGTGAGAATGAAAATATACTCAATAATGTGATCTACCGCAATATGCATGGAGAAAACTGACAATAACCTGGCTGTAAGAGCCAGAGTATCGCTTTAAAATACTAGGCAAATCCACCTGAATGACAAATGCAAATTAACCATTAGATTGAATTTTTGTTACAAAATGTAACATTTATGCACAGAAAACATACAATAAGCAAACAGCACCTTTAAAAAACTCCACATACTTTCTTAAACGCCAGGCCTTAAGGGAAAAGCACCAAAAGCATTTTCCTTAATGCTACTAGTTATCAGGAACAAGTTCAGGGTTTTCATTTAAAAACAAACAAAACTCCCCTGAAACCCAAACCCAACCAATAATAAAAAAAAAAAAAAACGGCGCTCATTCTTCTTTAGTTCTGAAGATCAAAATTCCTTGCATACTAAAAAAAAAAAGGTATACTGTATCTGATAACATTTCTTTCCCACCTTAAAAAAAAATCTACTGATGATACTTCGACTGAAAGTAGATTTTTGTTTTTATTTTTTCCCCTTGAACAAATCCTTAGGTTCCTAAGGATTAGCTAATAAAACAACAGAAATGCAGGAATAAAAGAAATGAGCATAAAAGACAGTTTGCATTGTAGGAAAAAGCTATTTCAACAGAAAACTGACCTGATCAGCAGAACATCGCAGGAAGACAGGCATCAGTGGGGGAAAAACCCACAGCCACAATCGCCACCTCTGCTGCGTATTTGCTATTTAAATTCAAACTAGACTTCCATTTATTTAGCCATATGAAGAGGTAAAGGGAGCAACTGCCCCGGAGCTTATCTACGTGGTCAAATTTCTCACACTGTGCCCGCAGTAGAAAAAGCTACACGGACTGCAGCATTTCGAAGAGCTGTAGTACAGCTATAACAGAACAATGGTGCCGTTATCACATTTGTCTCAATTTGCTCCAAGCCCATTACACAACATGATAAAAAACTGTGACAGTTCGTTCATACTAAATAGACAGCAGTGGAGTTGCAACAGTGAAAAAAATACGAGTTTTCTCGTCTTACAAACCGAAACTGAAGCCCTTTTAATGGTTTTCTTCAGGAGGCGAACAGATGCCTTGTATACTACTTGATGTGTTCTAACAGAACAGGTAGCCTAAGTAAGCTTCCCTTGCCTGTTGCTTTGCCTCATACTTAAGTAGAAAGAGCACTGCAAAAAAGGTTTGCTTCCTTTTCATTGTCAGAATATCACTCCATGCACAAGGTGACCTTGACCAAAAGCACTACATCATTCAAACTGCGTTAACTGACTGAAGGAATTGCTCATTTTGTCTTCTAAGATGAGCATAACATACTAGCTTTTCCTACCCTGTTTTACCAAGGCCCCTACAAGTCTTCTCACCCATCTCATCAAATTCCAAGAACTTGCCCTCTCAAGGCAACACATCTCCTTTCCTCTGAACACTAGACTCAAATGTCATTAAAGTGTCACAGCTTATCATTATCCCTTGAAGAAAGCAGCAGATTGCGTGACCTTGTACATAAAAATACATCTTTATCCCCACACTCTCCTATAGCTCCTAAACTTCAGCATCATTCATTCCACTTCCTGCACGCATCAGTTCCACCAGGAGATGGCAATAAGGGAAAACAGGAGACAACATCGGAAGACAAGAGCATATTTATTCTGTATTTTACCAACTAAAACTTACTGCCTATGAGCTTCCAAAAGATCAAGACCTTTCAAATAAGACTCAGCATACACAAATACTATTTTATAAATTCAGGTACACACTTAACCTCCACCTACTAAGAGGACTGATTACACTAACATTTTTTACTTCAAAGATCTCATTTAGTTTACAAGACTATTCAACTCTGGTTTTCTGATGCTGCTAACTAAGCCAGCACTGGATGCTATTTAGAAGACAAGCATATAATTCCACGTAGTTCAAAGGAGCTTGTAATACATATTTTTCTAAATTTCTACACACAAGAGAATTGTTTCAGAAAGATGTGATACACATATTTTTGACTAATCTTAATGCAACTAAGTGATGACAAACTGCCAACAAAACAAAAGTCTATTTCTCCTGAGAGACAGATGCCCAAGTAAGACACCTCCCTCTCAGCTCATCCCTTTAAAGACCAGATCTGATGATATAACACTTCGGAGGGGAAAGTGGCAACCCATCTTACACAGGCTTAAATGAAGTAAGTGGGATATTCAGAAGGAATTGTGTGATTTTTAAACTTTTTGCTTCAATTATTAAAAATAAATAAAATCATCCTGAAACAGGCTTCTTTGTACTGGAAGCTCAACAGTCTGTCAAGAAAGGAAAATCACTACAATATTCACATTGCACAGACTTTATTTTTACTTTTCATTATATCTATTAACCTAATGTATTAATAACATCCACATACTGTATTACACTTCTACGACCATAAAAAAGTGCAGTTGTTTCAGCTTTACAAGAAACATGATTCAAATCACCATTGCTTTTGGAAAGGAGCACTACTCTTGAAACCAAAAGCAACTTTTCTTCACAGAATAAACAAGCCACTATGCTTTCTAACAGATTTCATGATGCTATTGTCAGTGAATCTGGAAAGAAGTCTTGACATATTTTATTCTAAGTAGGCTCCTCATTTTCTCCCATAATAGCTATTCTACAAACCCACACAGTTACATTTTTAACAAACTGCAAAAATTGTAAGAAAAATTGAAGAGGAAAAAAATAAAAAAGAAAAGCATTTATCAAATCTCAGGTATAAGCTGATACAGTTAACATCAGTCTGTTGCCTGTGCTTACTGAATATTCCTTTTATTGCATACTTCAAAAATTTTCAAATCTCGCAGTCTACAGAACTATATGATAGACATTTCCTAAGAAAAAAAAAAAAGTGCTACGACCTCTGCATTGGATAGAATCATTGAATGTCTAGAATTGGAAGAGCCCTTAAAGATCATCTAGTTCCAACCCCCCCGCCATGGGCAGGGACACCTCCCACTAGACCAGGTTGCCCAAGGACACATCCAGCCTGGCCTTGAACACCTCCAGGGATGGGGCATCCACAACTTCCCCGGGCAACCTGTTCCAGTGCCTCACCACCCTCAAAGTAAAGAGTTTCTTCCTAATATCTAATCTTTACTTCCAAAAATAAATACATTAAATGAATAGTATTAGTGTTTGTATTAAATAATGTTTTAGAAAAACCCCATCAACCTGAATACACTGTTGACAGGACGTAGTACTAAGTACTAGCAGGAGTAATTATGGCCACTGTTCATAAGCATATGAGTCTGAAGAGATGACACCACTGCAGGTTTTTTTGTTTGTTTTTTTTTCTTTTTAAATACTGTAGAAAAGAATGGTTTCCAGAAACCACTTCTGTTGTTCATTGGCGCTTAACGTAGGTTATAGAAAAGCTTTGATTTAATATATTACCTATCTACTAAGAAAGTTTTCCCATTTCTTACTAATGCTTGGCAGAAACATAGCTTTTCTCTTCTTAGCGCTTTACAAATATTAGTCATTAACACCATGGGAGGTAGTTAAATATAAAGCAAATTTTACATACGAGGAATACAGAATGCAGAGGTTCTAACAGCAAACAGACCACTGCACAAACAGATTTCTGTAGTTTGAAATGCTGTTCCTATTCTCGGATCAGGAAGAGATAGTAAAAGCAGGATTAATTTTTTTCCAGTACTGAGGAGATTCCCATTTTGTCCCATCTTTTGATTTTAAAGAGGATAGAATGGTTTTCAGAATATTTCCAAACGTGAAATGCAAGTAATTTCAAGATTGTATTTTCCTGATTTTGTTCAAGGCTACTGAGAGTCTGAACCACTCCACTTTGTTTACCTTCCAGACTTGAGGGGTTTGACTTCATAATGGTAGTATGACCAGTCTCCAGCTGTTAACAATAAGAGTGTAATTTTTTGTACTGGTTTACCTTGCCTTGCATAGAAGGGTGTATATATGCACGTAGACATAAAACACTAAATTAAAGAAATGCATTTCATCCACAGGAATCCTGTATGAGTATGTTGCAGCCCTCACCTTAATTTCAGGAAAGTTGTACTGCTTTCTTTGCTTTTTTAAAAGACATGCCAGCACAGCAACAAAACCCACAGAATTCCCGCAGTCAGCATCAAGAACTCACCACCATATATGAAGTACGTGACACACGATGTTAAAACAAGCAAGACTTGCAGTCTCTTTGAGCACCTATCAGTTTGCATCTCTCCCTCAGAAATCTCAGGTTCTCTTTGACACCAGTTGTGAATGGTCTGTTCTACAGAGACACTGCTTTCTTTTTACAGATACTTGCTTGATTTTTAGAGAAAAAAAATCTGCACACACGCCATCTCAGTAGCTGCTAGCTTTGGCCACTGCTCATC